GAACAGACTAATAAAAAGAGAAGTTTTTCAAAGTGAACGAGAGCCACGCATGCTCACCAATCCCAATAGTCAAGCCATTTTACCCAGAGGGTGAAGTAAGCACCCAGCTTTGAAAATTTCACTGATTTTTTTTTAGGCTTGCTTTTCATACATACAGCCATTTGCTTATTTGTTTGCAGAAAGCACAGACATGCCTATGAATGAATGGAGTAAATGTAAAACCAGTTTGGGGAAGGGAGATCAGTTTGAGTATGGAGAAAATAGGAAAGAGACTTCTGATACATTCAGGAAATATTGTGGTTGTAAATAGCAGGAGAATTATTAGGTAGAGGAAAAAGGAGAAGACTAGAAGAGACAGGAACGATTCATACAAGTATAGAAGAAGTGATACTGTGGGTATGCAGTTGCAGACATCTATTTTCTCAATGGGATAATATTTCAAAATTTGCCAGCTAACTGCAATAACTTTGCTCTGCAAAAAATAGTATAATCTGTTTCAGTGATTTGGGGGTAAAAAGCTAATTTGTTGTTTTTCAAAGAAGTTTTCAAGTTCCTCTGACAACGGTGGTTTAGTAAGTTCATAGACAGAGCTGAATAATGATGGCTTGTATTCACCTTCTCCTTCTCAAGAAGTTCTGAGTTAGAGGAAACTAAGGAGACTGAATGAGGTAAAATAGCTCACAGAGCACCTCCATTAAGAGGCCTAATTATATTAGCCTGACGGGAAAATGAGCTGAATAGTTCCAACGTACTAAGAATTAATGGCTGCAAAAGATGTCAATCCCGAAAAAGGAGGAGGCTGAGTACAAATGACCTAAATTACGCCAGCTGAAAGTATGTGGAGGAAGGCAAATAAAATACTATAGCTGTCTAGACTTCCATTTTACAATATGAGATAGCAAAGGGAAAAGGAAATAGAAAGTACAGCTGTCACTATGCAGTCAATATCGTACAGAGCTGTAAAGTTTTTCCCTTAGAAGTAAGAATAATTGAAAAGCAAAGGAACAAGAATCAGTGTGGGAGCTCCTCAGGTGGAGGACAGCAACCCAATACTGAATTGGGTTTCTGTCTTTTGAGTGAATTCACAAACCATTTGCTTGTTTATAAAAGAATAGTATTACTCAGTTCACAGTCTTAAGAGGGAAGAGTGTATAGGCTACCAAGGTTTCTAAAAGAAAAGTTGGAGGAAAGTTAATTTCAGAAAGAGTTTAGGGATGCAGTACAATGAGTGAATGAAAACACCCAAATTCCAGAGAGAAATTCCTATGTCACTGTCTATGATGCATTTGTAGGCAATCTCATGCTGGCTGTGAAGGTTTTCTGTGATCTCAGTTTGTTATTTTCTGTGGAGGATCTTATACACTCCTTTAGGTCCATAATTAATCACTTTCTTGAATGAAATTCTTGATGTTCGGCTAAATATATGCCCTGGGAATTGGAAACAATATCACTAACACCTTCGAGCACTGAGATAAATATCTGAGCAACTACAGCAAAGATTAGAGACCTTTTTAGATTATTTGCCTGTCTCCTTAATAAATCAAAATGGATGCATTGCGTAGGCATGTGTATCTCTGGATCAAAAAGTGAGTCAAAATGTCTGTCAACATATACTGCAACTGTTGACATTTCCTGGGACCTCTCAGCCACCAAAGAACTCTTTCCTTTACCTCTTTGGCGATGGAGCAGAAATTTTCCAGTTGAGAAAGGGTCCAAAAGCCACTGTAATACTGAAGTTGTTGATTCAATAAGAAATCTGAAAAGCCTTTGGGAAACAGGTTGCAAGGAAGATTTTCACAGGGCCAGAAGAGGACTGAGAGGTCATCTGAGCGCTTGCCTCCCTGAGATTCTGTCATCACAACATCAAACCTTTCACCTTTTTTTGTACTAAATGGGCTACACCTGCCAGGCAAACTGTTCTGACTAGAGAGAGAGATGATCTGGGGAAACACATCTTTTTTTATTGTCATTGATGTTTGAATAAAATCAGTTTTGTTCCATTTACAAAGACCATGTGTTGAAATATAGACAATATATCATGATAAGACCCTGAAAGCTATTGTTTATTATCTCTCTGTGCTAAAATGAAATTTTCAATGCTCCTCAAGCTGTTTCTATCTTTTCCTTGTTTGGCTTTGTTTTCTGAGTGCCTTGTCTGAGATTTGCCTTTTAACTTTCCTCAGGGAAATAAATCTTGCAGTGTAGAGCTTTCGCAAAACTCTTGCAACCGTGAACCCGCAATGTTTAGCCAAGCATCTACATGAAATTTTAAACTAAAAGCATGAAATGAAGCTAATGTTCCTGTAATGTTTTATGAACTGAAAGAATCATGCAATCATTAAAAAAATGCCTGGCACTGTGGATGTCAGTGAACCTGAAAGAATTAAGGGGTCTCTGGTGGTCGGTTAACACTGGGCAGAACTGTATGCCCGAGAGCAGACACAGAAACAAAGCAATGGGAAAGGAAGGGGCCTCACTGATGAAAGCAGTAACGACGCTCTTTGCTTGCTTTTCTATTGCTCTGTATTTATATTTCGCCCCAAACTAATTTTATCATGGACGTACCACAACATGATTTTAAAAGAAAGAGAAACTGGCCTATGACCTCAGGTTTCCTACCCATTCTGGGGCTAAATCTTGTTGTACCTGGTGATCCAGGGACTCTCCTCAAGAAGAGTTAGCGCACATATATCAGCGCCAATGGGAGAACCTACTCCCTGTGGGTAGCGACGTGAGTCACGTCACACAGGTCCTGAGTTAGGAACTGGGCAGATTTACCAGATTTTTCTGCAGTATAGCAGAACTTTCAGTTGGAGTCTTTGTCCTGGATCTGGAGGAAAAAAAACGCCTTTGGGGCATCTGAGGGACTCAGCTAACAGTATGATAAGTTTTTCTTCTATTTCTGTGCTATTGTTTGAATTAGGAAACCGCAAAAGTTAATGCAATGAACTAAACTTCTGAAACATAAAGGTAAAATTAAAGCTGAATGTCCTTGATATGAGTGCTTTGATGTAAGGTTTAGTTCAGCTGGGAGATGTAAGCGCAGAAACTAGTGGTAGGATGGCTTATGTCTGTCAAGTCTCCTACCATAGCTGAAAAGAATGATTTGAACAGTCTGTCGTTAAAACGGCTGAGGCAGATGTTACTTTTACCACCACAGTCAAAGCAAGGGTCCTCAGTGTTTGACTTTCAAAATCCCCTCTAAGTTCCTCACAGAGATGTAAAATGGTTTGTTTATTAAATCTGTAATTTTACGAAACTTGTGAGGTCCAGAATGAAATGCCTGATTCTCTGCAACCTCCGGTGGGACATATATTTCCTTAATCTCTTTAAGAACATACCTCCTTCAGTCTAACACCAAGTGCTATATTTATAATCTAAGAAGACACTAAAGATTCTTTTCCCTTTCGTTATCATTTCTGCTATATTTATCACAAATAATTACCAATTTAACCATTTTATTCTTGGGAATACAGGGATTCAGCAGCGAGACTCAATTTCTTCTTGCACATTTCACTTTAAATGCCTGAACATATTCATACTTCTTTGTTGCTTTATTTGTCTCAAACGATTTCAGAGCTGTTTTCAAACCTCGCATACAAAGGACTCACCCACAAAAGACTGATCATCACGCAGCAGCAGAATGCAGTAAAACTAAACACTGCAGAACAGCTTATGTCGAGAAACACAAGTAGAGGCTTTCCTGAAAGCCATGTTCAGCTAATAGATTTTTATCTATCTCCTTCACAGGTCAATCGGCCAGTCACATCTTTGTGTACCGGGTATCAAAAATGGAATAGCAGCCCCAGTACGTAACTGTGTGAAGAATAGCAGAATAACATTAGGAAACAAGGCACTTAAATGGATCTATTTTCTCTATTTAAGTTTCTTCACAGTGAGATAACACGAGTAAGTGGTGTCAAAATCAGAGTGAAAGAATAAAGCCAGACTTCAAGCAGAATATAGCAGAGGCTGTGTCTCCAACGGGGTATAGGTTGAACCTCCTGATCTGAAGCAGCATATAACAGCCGTGGTAGAGACTCTGAAGCTGAACAGAGGTTTAGCTCTGGAAGTCAATGGCAAAATTTCAGTGAAGCATAATTTAATCCTAGGTATTTAAAAATATTTTAAAGTCTGGTAATACCAGATTAAGTGGATTTGCTTCTCCTACCCCAGGTCTGTATTTAAATCAGTGACCTTCAGCTGAAACTTTAATAAAAGTCATGAATTTTATTTGCTGCATTGCATTCACCCACTGTTCCATGACTAATGCCAAATAGGAGTTTAGAGATGTGAAGAGCAGTCCCATGAGACCCAGACTTTCACACAGAAGTTGCGCTTATCTCCAAATACCGTAGCAATCGCAAGCCAGTTCCCAATGTTTGGAATCACAGCAATTGCTCAAGATTTGGACCTAAACTCTGAGGACAGACTGAAGGGATCAACAGATGAGAAACATATTACTACAACATTAGTTAGCAGAAAGTCACCATCAATCCACAAACACCACTGTCATGTCACATGCCGATTGCCCTAATCTGACACTGAACTGACATAAACCAAATGACCCGCGTGTCAGATGTGCAGCCGTTCGCAGCGTCGCTCAAGGTAAGCCGGGATCAGCAGCACAGGGAAACGGGGGGGGGACACAAAGCAGGGTTGGGGATCACCCCAGCTAATCAGGGCAGGTCTAGCGTTCTCCCCAAAAAGGGGGAACAGAAAACAAAGTTAAAATAAAGCAGAGACCAGATCATGCGCAGAATGGAGGAAAAACTGCTAGACTACTTTCTGGCTGAGTAAACTTCAAAGCGTTGCTAAACGACACTGAGCCCCTGAGTACGGCTTTAGAGAGCGCAGCTTGCTGTTTATGTTCTGTCACTCCTGTGAAAAGGAAAGCAGTAACGGAGCCCCTCAGG